GAAACCTGCATCCCTCTCCCTCCTCCTCCTGCTGCTCCCGAGTCCTCTCCCTGCCAGTTCAGTGCCCTCCCTGTGCCGGGAAGGGGAGTGCTGATGTGGCTCCTCAGCCAGCACTGCCAGCCCTGGGCAGCACAGCCACCTCTGCCCATGGGCACCGGGCCCAGGCATTCTGCAAGCCAAGACAGTGCTGGCAGCAGGGAGGGCCCTCACCTCTGTCAGGACACCTGCTACATCCAGCCCTGGCACACTGCAGAGCTGCACGGGAATCTGCCTCCTCCTCTCCCTTCTCTCCAGAGGGAAAATGACAAACTCAGGCCAGTGACTGACTCCGTGGTCCCAGCGACAGTAGTCAGTGACCATCAGGGAAGCTGTGAGAAAAGGAGGACTCAGACTTTGAGGCTCCTGGCTGACCACGGCACTGTGCAGGTGAGCTCGCAGAGGAGCCAGCCCTGCTGTGCTATTCCTGACTCGCCATCTGAGCCTGACTCATTGCCTTGGAAACAAATTAAAACACTTTTATGTGTTTGCAGCTTGGTACCTAATTTTGTAAAACCAGGGAAACTGGCTCCTGCTGTTGGCCATGGAGGTCCTTTGGCTTTCCACCACCTCTGGTACCACCCAGGAGTGCCCCACGCCCGGACTGTTGCACACACAGCTTCTGGGGGGTGTGTTGTCCATCAGTCTATATTGAGGTGACCCCACTCTCTTTATAGTAGATAAAAGTGCTAAAACTACATGCAAAGGGACAAAAGGCACACACCAGTGTCCTGCACAAGGTGCCACCAGAACTGCAGGAACAGCTGCTCATTCTGCTAGAATGAGGCAACAGTGATGGTGGAGAAGAGTTGGGACAAGCCCTTTCTCCAGAAAGGCCACACAGAATTTTGTAGGCAAATGAAGTGTCTCTGTGTCCAGCTGAGGGGCCCCATGGTGCACACCTGCCACCCCCAGCAGCTGTGGGGCAAGAGGATGCTCCCTGTCTCTGGCATGAAAGGAGCCAGCACCACCACTTCAGGCAGAGTTGGGCCTGGACAGCATCCCCGAGTTTGTGAGGTCCCTGCAGTGGCTGTCCAGCTCAAGGGGATGTGACACCTTTTGAGGTCATTGCCATGACTGCATGAGAACTGCTGGGGGTTTTGGGAGGGTGAGGAGGGGGGTTGGCTCAGTGAGTGGGCCAGGAAATGTGTTTGCCTCTGGTGGGTGCAAATATGGAGGTTGCTTTGAAGAAGACTTCAAGAAGCTCCAGCAATCCAAGTGCTGTCTGTCAAATCTAGAAAGGAGCTGGAGATGATTCTGGAGGAGAAGAAAATACCAAGATGCAGGCACTATCTATAGACGTCCGTGTGAAGGTGGGACGTTGGAGTGCAGAGTATTTTTATCCCAATAGAGGTGTTATCTGTCTATCTCCCATGAAATGCTGGAGGGGGGTGTTAAGCACTCAGTTCATGCAAAGATAAAATAGCCCAAGTCACAGTTAAATCTGCGTGGTCTGTGTTTTCCCAAGGCAAGCTGTCATACTCGGAATTTTTCTCCTCTAGCTCACTGTCCCATGTTTGTTGCATGACAAAGTTCAGCGCCCAAGTAGCTGTTTAGTGGCCTGGACGGAGTTTTGCCGTGTGCAGGGTGCAGTTGGGTCATCCACCCCATCAGAGGTGGTTCCTGCACACCTCAGCACACACGGTCTGCTTGCTCGCCAGCGGCAGAGCCGCGCTCAGCTCGCAGTGAGGCTGCAGCCGGCTGAGGAGGAGCTTCAGTACAAGCCTTAACCACACCTGGCACATGCCAGGGGCGGTTCCTAAGAGTTCAAAGGCTTCAGCGTGGCTTATTTACGCATATACCTCCCAGCAGATCCTTTTATTCTTAAATTCCAGACAGTTTATTACGTGAAGATCCTGAAAATCCAAAGTCTTGTCCTCTCTGCATTGATGTTAAAGATCTGAAGGCCTGGCCTGAGGTGCTGGGAGCAGCTGCGGGGTGGTGGTGGGGGCTTAGGGCAGTGCCAGGTGCTCAGGGCTGCACTGCTGGAGTGGCTGCTCCATGGAGGCTGTGCAGGATCTGGCACAGCCTGGCTGTGGATATGCACGGCCGGGCCCACGTGCACAAACCCAGCACGTGCCCACCCCACGGTAGCTCATAGGAAGTGGATTCAAAAGGGATTTAAATGCCAGCAAATAAATAGCTTGGGATGGGCTGTAATTAGAAAATTCCCTGTATTTTAACAACTGGCTCTGGGAAATTCCTGGCTAAAAACAGAGTGCTGTGTTTGTGCTAATCCAGCAGCCCTGCGGGGGCCTGCTCACTCTTCCTGCTGAGAGTGAGAGGAGCTCTTGGCTTGCTGGGTGAGGAGGGATTTATATTACTTTTTGCCTTCACGGATGCTTATGGGGATGAAGAGCAAAGAGCTGGCAAGGAAACATCTCTGCTGAGAGAGAAACTTTGATCAAACTCGTGATTTTCTCAGCTCCAGGGAGTAAAGGAAGTTTATTTATAGAACAGCCTTGGTAAAAACAAACCCCAGCCCATATCCCGTGTTGGATGGCAGCTCTGGCTGCAGTACAACATGGGGCATGTCAATTGTGTTTGCTCTGTAGCACAAGGTTTGGATAGCATTAGGGGTAATTAACAGCCCTTGCAGATTAGGGCAGTCTGTTTTTGGGGAGCATATGACCTTCCACTGCAGTAGAACATGGACACTGCAATTCCGAGTACCCGGGAGAGCACTGTGGTGGGATGAGCAGGACTGCACAGTAGCTGCTCTCACTGTGATTCCTGACAGAAAACATCTACTCTGAAGTTAACATCATCTGGAGGCCTCTGCTTACCCAGATACCTTCAGGTGAATACCCTGGAACTCAAGCACTCCATGGTGTAGGGTGATGGCAAGTCACCCTCATCAGTGTCTCGTCTTTGCACTTCACAGGCAAACGTGTCCCTGCTGTGACCAGGTGCCAGCACAGGGGAGGCTCCAAATCCCACTGGAGCACCCAAATAACGGCTGGTCCCGAATGCAGGTATTTAAAACCACCAAAACCAAAAGGTGACTAATACATTGCATTCTTCACCTTGCAGCTGAGGATTACAAAGTGTTTTATAATTAAGTAACTAATTAAGTCTAAGAACATTTCAGTGTAATGTGTTTTATGTCCCTTCCCAGAGAGGCACAGGAGCTCAGAGTGCCAGGGAGCCAGCTGCAGCCACTGCTACCCCACCACTCACTGTCTCTGCTGATTCCCAGGAGTTTGGTCCTAAAACTGGTCTTGAAAACTTGTGGAAGCTGCAGATTGATGGATGTTGACATTATGTATCAACAGCAAGTACCTACCTGCCCTGAGAACCAGTAAAAGAAACATGAAACGAGTGAGAGAAAACAAAAACCAGAGGAGACTACTTGTGCTTTTTTATCCAGGGGAGTCCAGTTGGAAAAACTATAACCTCCTTGACAGCTGGAATGTCAGCCTGGGATAGCAGTGACTGAAACCTGTCACTGTTGGATGGTTCGTAACTCGCACGAATGGCACCAGCAGCTCCCGCAGCTTCCCTGGAGAGCTGGTGGCTCCCAGCAAGGGTGTCGCTGCTGCCACAGCCCTGCGGATGGAGCAGGGTCCCCACGGTCAGAGCAGTGTCCCTGTGGACAGAGCAGGGTCCCCATGGTCAGAGCAGTGTCCCTGTGGACAGAGCAGGGTCCCCATGGTCAGAGCAGTGTCCCTGTGGACAGAGCAGGGTCCCCACATGGGGACCATCTGTCGGCAGCCCAAGGACCCACTCTGCCCTCCCACCTGGCCCCCAGGCACCTCCCAGTGCTGCAGCAGAACGTTCTGGGCTGGGCCATGTTGCCCACCCACCCCTACCCCCCTACCCCTGGCTGTGATGTGTCCAGGCAGTGCTCCTGGGAAGGGACCCAGAGCCCGTGGCTCAGGGTTGCACTGCCACATGGTCCAGTGGGAACACCTGAGAGAGGAGCTCTGCAGGGATGCCTGGTTTTGGTGTGTGATCCATCCAAGACCCTTTTTGGTGCCACAGAGATTTCCTGGGACAGGTATGCCAGCTCATGGTCACAGGACACAGGGCCTCCCCCAGCAACACCTGCACGTGTGCACGGCTCCAGGACCCCGGGAGGACAATGCAGTGGAGGGGAGGACACCTGTCCTGAGCCTGCCAGACATTTACAGCTCTGCAGTTCTGCCCAGTGCTCTGGGATGCAACAGCCCTTTCAGCCGAGATTTTATGTGTCATGAAAAGGTTTGTAGAGACATTGTACAGAAGAATAGTTCAGGTGGGAGAAATGGAAGTCCAGGAATATAATGCAGGAAAGGTGAAGCCACAAGTCTCTACCCCAAATTCCATCTGAGCCAAGCTCCTTTAACAGGTCTAATATTGCGTCCTCATTATTCAAGAAAAGCTTTTGTACTGTTAAAGAAAATGACAGAAGGAACTTTGAATTTTAAAATTAGCCTAGTAACTCATCCCTAGGTACAGTCAGTGAGTGCGTCAAATTTAGTATTTTTAACTAGTGAACCTCCCAGTACTTTGGCAGGATCAGCAGCATCATTGGGCAGGCTCCTTCCTTTCTAGTGCGGGGGAAACTGAGGTGCAGTGATGGGAAATACTTTCTCCACCACTAACAGTTACAGCTCTGCAATTACTGACTTAATTGCTATCAGTCAAAAGCACTGTATTGCCCGAAAGTCAAAGTGCCTGAAATGCCCTCAAAAGCCAGGAAGCACCTGAAAACTCTGTGGGAAAACAGATGCTTGGAAGTTTTTGTAAGGAGAAAGGCAGTCTGGCTTTTTCTCAGCCTGGGAGTCAATTCAATTCCTGCTGCAATGAACTTGAAACAGTCAAATATCACACGGAAACAGCAGCCAGATTTACAAACAAAACACTCTCTCTCACTTCAAGCACTCTGCAGTGCTGCTAACAGGGAAGGTTCCTGGCTCTGGGCACACAGCAGGAACCTTTCTATGCTCACAGACAGAGTAAAGAATATCAACCTTCCTTACCCCTTCCATGTGGATCCTGGGATTCGTTGCCAGCCGGTGCTGGTGCAGCTGCAGCCCCCTGGGGATTCTCCTGATGGAGGCGGGGGAGGACAGGACCCCTGACCTCTGGATCGAGCCAAACCTGGTGACGTTTTGTCCACACCTGACTCCATCCAGGAGGCGAATGAGGAGCAGGTTGGAGGGGAGCTGCTCGATGCTGCAGAGGACAAGGGTCCTGCACTCAGGGCACCGTAGCTCCTTCTGGGATTTCAGGATCCTTTGCAGACAGGGCTTGCAGAAGGTGTGCTGGCACGGCAGCACCTTTGCCGTGGCGTCGAGCTTTTCAAAGCACACAGGACACTCCAACAGGTCAAGGAGAGCCAAGTCATCCATCTTCAGTGCAGAACTCCGTCAGGAGCGGAGCTGGAGCCATCCACACCCCACATCCACTGGAGCTGGCTGAGATGCCTCCCTGTGCCTGCAAGAACCAGATCCTGGGCTCCAGCAGCTATCCTGCTTGGAGGGCGAGGGAGGAAGGAGTGCGGAGCAGAGCTCCACTGCTGGAGCGTGTAACGCAGCCACCTACATCGCAGAGCTGTTCCTCACCAGCCAATCTGCAAACTCACACACTGCACTCGCATCCCAGTTTGAAGTGAGTCACTTGTGACTCAGTTGGTGCAAGGGGACGGGTCTGGGGTGGTGCCGGGGGCAGGAGCCCCAGGTTGTGCTCCCTGGGCAGAAGATCCTGGAGCTGGGATGGGGAGCTGCAGCAGGCCAGGCACGCTCCCCTGACGCTGTGCACAGGGCTGGCTGCAGAGCTCCTGCTCTGCGCATCAGAACTGACACGGCGGTAAAAAATTCACCAGCTCAGGAGATGAGAGTCCCGATAAACATCAGACCGGACCTGTTCATGCTCTGCTCCTGCTGTTCTCCACCACTCGCTGCTCACATCCCTCGCACACCTACACGCCGCCTCGGTTGTCAGATAGTCCCAATTTAGCTCGCTCCGTGCTCCTTTTGACAGCAGTTCTATAAAAAGTCCTCCAGGCGCAGCCACTCTCCGGGGGTACCTGGCGGGGCCGTGGGGCGCTCTGCGGTGTCGTCCTCGCCCGGTTTGGCTGCCTCAGCTCGCTGAATCAACCAAGGAGGATTATTCCTCCCACAGCCTGAAGTCGCTCAACCTGTTCTGCTCCCCGGCTGTGCTGGCTGAGTCCAGGGCACCCACCATGGCGGGGTTCAAGCCTGGGCTTGCCGAGGCTGCGTGGCCCTGCAGCACAGATGGGATGGGATGTCCTGCACCAACCGAGGGGCCAAAGGGAGCCCTTGCACCAGGAGCTGGCACAGTCCTGCTGGGGGGAGCAGCATGTGCCAGACCCGATCCAGACAGAGCTTCCTGTGCCTGGCACTCTAAACAGGGATTGACTGCTCCGGCTGCTCTGTCTGACGGATGGTCACCTCAACAGCAGCTGCTCTGTGGGACAAGGGGGGAACTGGACACTGTGTTGGTTACCAGGGACAGGCTGACCTTTGCATGACTTTTGGTGCTGTTACCTGGGCTCCACCAGTTCCTGGTGTTACCACTCCCAGGCCAGTTGGCGATGGGCTTCGTGCTGGGGAGTCCAAAAATGGCCCCTGCAGGAAGGGTGTCCCTGTGCTGCAGTGAGACCTGAGCCCAGCAACAGCCCCGTGGAGTCTGAGGGGCACCTTCCTGCCCCAGCGAGCCCCTGGCTATGGCACGGGAGGCCAGGGGACATCTCTTGGTATCTGTGATTTGCATTCCCTTTATCAGCTGGATTCCTATCTCAGGTCTGCCAGCTCGCACATACCGATGGATTGCTTAAGGAATGCAGGAGATGCAGCAAAGGTCCGAGAGTTTTGCTTACAAACCCTGTCGCATCTCAGTTGTGTTTACAACCTACAAGTGCTACTAATACTAGAGGATGAGTGTAAATCCAAAAATCTCTCAGACAACACCGCCAGATAACACCCTGCCCTCCTCTCAGGATCCTTCAGAAGTAGGGTGTGGAAAGGGTTAATGTGTCTTTCCAAAAGTTCTCCCCCCCAGATCATGATTTTGCCAAAACAAAGTTTTTCTTTTCTTTCTTTAATAGAGTAGCCATTTGGATAAATTAAGCTGTTGACAAACATCTTCAGGATATGCCAGGAACCAATGACCTCACTCTGTTTCATCTCAAGTTTCCTTTTGCTTTAGTGCTTCTTTGTAGTCTGTCATATGGTGATGTGTGCTGGGTGCACACTGTTTAATGAGTGATGCTGCAAACAACATCAGCTCGTCCGCCGGAGGTTGTAAATGCAATGCATGCCATAAACTTTATTGAAAACAAAGGTTTTGAAGGTAATTTTTCTTTTTTAAAATATTCTTCCCTATTTGTGCCCTGTGATTAGCACTCAGGTTGTATTTTCATCTGATTAGAAAGGAAGCAGAATTATGAAGTATCCTGCAGTGGGCAGGTGCTGGAAAGGAAGCCAACTGGCTGGTTCTCTGCACACCAACTCTTGCTCATCTCTGATCAGATCTGTTTGGTCCTTCAGTTTTCCTGAACTTTAGGGGCCAGTCTGTGTTAGCTGCACTTTCACAGCAATGGGTGGGAGTGAGGGTCTGCCTGGGGGATGCACCTGCACAGTGCAGCGCACAGTTCCTGGTGAATTCCCATCACCAGCCACAGTTGGAGCATCTGGACGCTCTGTGGGTGCCTCAGGAGGACCCAGTCCAGGGGATTCTGTGGTGCTGAGCACATTCCAGGGGTCCAGGGAACTGGGGATCTGGGGCTCCTCAAGGGTCGTCAGTGATATCAGTGTCTGAGGGAAGGCCCTGCGCTCTCCATCTCTTGGGAATGCCATCAGGGATATGCTCTGTACAAGCTCCCCTGAGTCTGGCAGCAACTCTGTCTCCTCTCTGCCTGCTTGGGGCACAGGGTGTGGATTGCCCAGGCAGGGACAGGGGCTTTTCCAACCAGGAGTTTCTGAACTGCCACAACAGCCAAGTGAGACTCCGATCTGGGCTGCAGTCTCTGGTTCTGCTGCAATACAAAAGCTACCTGTGCTAACACACTTATATAACACATCAAATGTTCAGAGCACTTCCCAAAAGCTCATTCATCTGTGGAATGCCCCTCGAGCTAAGCATCCCACCACCACTTTACATGGAGGAAACCAGGAGACGAGGCCACAGTGTCCAATTTGGGATCAGGATGTGAGGCTTTCCTGGTTTTCACTTCACACTCAGACCATTATCTGCCATTGCCTCTCCCTTCCAACGCATCTCATAATTGGGGTTAAAAAATAAAGGCAGAGCTAGAAAGCTGCTCGTCCTTCCCTTTCATTTCAACAGTCTCTGTTTGATGCTGACACTGTAATTAACTCAGGGCTGGATGCAGCGGGATGCCTGGTCTGGAGGACGCTGCTCTTGGGCTGCAGGCAGGGCTCCTGCCTGGGCATGGCTGGCTGCTGTCCTGGCCCTGCTGGTCTGCAGGAGCCCTCTGCAGGGAAGGGATGCCTGTAACTGAAGGGATGGAACTGCTGAAATATGTCTTGCAAGAGTCATTTAATCCAAGAGGTTTATCATAGGGCTGGAAACTGCGAAACGATGTTGAGAGCGATGTGCCTGTCCTTGCTTCCACACCAAGTGGCTGCACACACGTGTCTCCCCTGGGAGCTCCCCTCTTTTGGCTTCCCCCAGCTCCATTGTGGACTCAGAAAAGAACTCCAGTGGATCCCAAAGAGAACACACTTTGTCCCCATCATCTCACAGGAGCTGTGCTGTGCGGTGTGTGCTCCTGTCCACCTGAACAACGTCAGTGGTGGGGACAGGCTGAGTGTGCCCAGCCTTGGGAACTCGTCCATGGCTCCTTGGAGGAAAAGGCTGGTGTCATCCACACACATTGTGTAATGGGAACTGAACCCTGTCACTGCTGGGAGCATGGAGGCTTGGTAAGATGTGCCATGGCAGGAAGCGTGAAGTTTGTTTTCTGCAGGCTGGGTCACAAGTGCCTGTGGGAGCCTCAGTCTCTCCCACCGCCTTGCTTCAAACCCTGCTCCAAACGTGTCTCCACTCTTTCCATGGAGGGACTCCAGTGGGATTGTTGCACCCTCAGGATGCCATGTCCTTGGGCTGACCCCCTGCATGCCGCCTGTGCCAGAGGACTCTCCAGCAGGACCAACATCCCATGGGTCTTGTGATGGGCTCCCAAGAAGTCCCTTTGGCAGCAGTAATGGGGTGGCTCTTGCCTCTCGGTCCCTCTGGGTCCCTCTGGGTCCCTCTGGGCTCTCTGCTAGAAATTAAATGTGGAAGAGTGTGAACAACTGAGAGGAGCTTCTCTCCACTGCCCTTTGTCTCACGTGCTCCGGACCATCCTCCTCACCCCATCCTACATCCCACCAGCCAACCCAGTGCCCTGGTGTCACCAGCCAACCCCGTGCCCCCCAAGCACCGCAGGGGCACCAGGCTGTTGTTCAGTGACTGCTGCAGTGCTGTCACAGCTGGGGCCACGTGTGCCGTGACAGGGCACAGCACGGCAGCACTTTCAGGGAGTATAAAAAGCCTTTGCCACTCTGCACCGTGCAAGTGGATGCCACATGCCTCCTTCTTGGGGGAAGAGGGACCTTTCAGGCTGTTTTTAGCTCCTGGAGGGCAGGGAGAGGGGGTGCCTCTTACAAGCTGCTACAGATTATAGATCTGAGCTGGCAGCTTGTCCTCCCCACCCACCCACAAACACGACGCCCAGTGCTGCTGCTGAAGGGGGTGAATGGCAGGACCTGCCTGTGCCTCCGGATCCTGAGGGCCAGGAGGGGAGCCTTCCCCTGGCACGGGGTCAGTGGTCCTGCGGGAGAGCCCCTCAGCTGTGAGGAGCAGCTGCTGTGGTGGTGTCTGCACACATGGCTGGCGCCGATGGGCAGAACCCGGTACATTTAGTAAATATGTTGCATTTGCTTGAAAATATAATTAGGCCAGCGTGACTCTGCAGGGATCTGCAGAGTGTGGGGACCTGCAGCCAGCAGAGCAAAAGGCTCCCTAAAATTTTCCCTCTCTCAAACCAATGTCTGGTGCCCCATGATGGGCAGCAGCCAGCGGCCACCACCTCCCTTCTCCCTGTGCCTGCCCCACAGCCCCTGAGGGGCACACAGAGGGACAGACACACTGACAGCTGGGTGTTTTAGGCTTTCTTTTCCTTTTTTCCCTTCACGAGGTACATACACATCATCTGGCAGATAAAAGCCATCTACATGTCCATAAGAAGAGGGGTTAGGGAGCTGTTTATTGAGCTCATGGAGGGTTGAATGCTGTGTTTTGCCATTACAGCCTTGTGCAGTCTGGGTATTGGGTACTGTGAAGGCTTCAGCTGATTCTGAAGTAGCTGGAGCAGAGCAGTGCC